GTGGCTTCAACTGTGACAGAGTGAAAACCGAGGACATCAGAACTTGTCCCAGTGGAAGTCTTTCATGAGTAAGGAGTGAATGTAAAAATGTAGGGCCAAATTCTACCTTCATTTACACTCTGGTTGAATCTCCATTAACTTCAGTGAAATTACAGCACAATGTAAGTGAAAACAGAATTTAGCCTTCACTTCATGATTCGGCCCCTATGAATATCAGATAAATACAGCATACAAGAAAAAAAGAAATAACTAAGGTGTATAAAGAAAATAAATAAGAGCTGTTTAAAGGCACAAAGGGGAATTAGGCACCAATGCTCATTGACTTTCAATGGGAGTTGAATACCTATTTTCTCTTTGTGCCTTTGAGAATCTTTCCCCCAAAGGATTACAAAACTTAACCTCTGTGAAAGACTGCGTTCATCGATGGCCAGATTTTCAAAAGTCTCAGCACCTCAGCAGCAACTATTGCTTTCAATAGAAGCTGCTCAGCGCGGAGCTCTTTGGAAAAATCTGCACAATTATTTAGGTGCCTGAATGGGAGCTGACCTCTTTTGAAAAGTTGCCTTAGAGACTGTGAGTAGCTTGGATTTTGTCCTTCCTGGATTTCCAAAGCTTTAGCATGTATTTATTCAGTTTTTGGATGCATACTCCAGGAGTAGCCTTATTGGAAGAGAAAAGAATAGATGCAAACTCAAGATATTCCTAGTCTATTTTTATTTAACTTTATTGCAGTTATTGCTTTGAACAAGGATGGGAAAAAAAGCAGCTGCAAAGTTTGCACATGTGTAGTAATACTTGCAAAATTTAATCAAAAACATTCTGAGTTCATGTTCCCAGCCAAACTGCTTTGTCTGTCTTAATTCATCCCAAAACACACTAATATCCTTTTGTTAAATGCATATGCCTGGGTTAGTCACCCTAAGTGAGATGGGGAGGAGGCCATGACTTCCCTTTACACCTACCACTCATGGCAGCAAATGCTGCACCTGCTTATGTACAGCAGTGGGCCTCTCCCTGGAAGTGTTCAGGATTTCTGGGAGGTAGTATTCTTTCTGGAGGCACTCTACCTCCCAGGGCTTCTACTAAGGTGGTATCAATCTCACATAGATGGGTGTGGTTAAAAGCTACAATAGAGTTTTGAGTAAGGTCCTCAATATCTAGCAACGCATTAATAATACATTTGTTTGAATATATTTCTTTTGTTAGACGGATTCGAAATATACCACTACACAGCCAAGCTTTGACCGCGGTCCCATTAGCATCTGCAAGTCTCGTGGATCAGCTAGAAGACAGAATTCTAAGCCATGAGAAAACAACTGCTGCCCTTGTGGAACACGCTTTTCGCATTAAGGAGGACATTGTTTCCACTTTGCATAGAATGCAGAACAAAGGGGGAGGAGATCGGTTGGCTAGGCAACTCTTAGAAGAACACATCCGAAACATAACGGCAATAGTGAGGCAGCTTAACCGGGACATTGAGGTATGTTCTGATTCTTTCCCGG